CCCCCCCCCCCCCCCCCCCCCCCCCCCCCCCCCCCCCCCCCCCCCCCCCCCCCCCCCCCCCCCCCCCCCCCCCCCCCCCCCCCCCCCCCCCCCCCCCCCCCCCCCCCCCCCCCCCCCCCCCCCCCCCCCCCCCCCCCGCTTCCTGCATTGCTCCCAGAGGGGCGGGGCACCCATGTCACCTTGGAGCTGTCCCGGGCCCACCTGGAGGGTCTGCTGACTGTCTGGAATTTGAAGAGGGCTCCTCTGCCTTCCATACTGGGACTAACTTTGTGGGCCACACATTCCAGAACAAGAGGAGGGGATGTGTTGAGAAAAAGTTACAAATACAAAATTGGTACAAAAATGAATGTTGAGGATGAGGAAATAAATCACATCAAGTTATCAGTTTTAAAAATCTGACAAATAGAAACAATACAAAATAGGAAGAAACATCACCAGGGTGTGGTTGGGAGGCTGAGGCAGGGAGATTGCAAGTTTAAGCTTAACCTGGGCAATTTGGCAAGATCCTGTCTCAAAACAAAAAAAAATAAAAATAAAAAAAGGGCTGAGGATGTAGCTCAGTGCAAAGGGCCTAGGTTCAATCCTCAGTGCTGAAAAGAAAATGAGAAAAATCTGTGCTGTTTTTTCAGCCTTTTTTGCCTGCATATTTTTGGTGGCCTTTTCATATGTTAAAAATTTTGATTCTTTTCCAGGAAGAGATTTGAATTGAGGTTTCAGTTTTTAAAGCATAATTCATAAAAAAATCTGTTCTGTACTTTTTTAAAACAATGTTTCTTACTTTCAAGCTCGTTATTGGTTATGTCTCAGACATTTGTGAGATTATTCTTAAATTTGGGAGACCCTCTGTTGAGTGTTTTTGTGTACCTAAACGGCAAGGTCTCAGTGTCTTTCAAGTTTTCTTGTACAGTGATTAATTCAAACAAATTGTGTTTGAATTGACAACACTCAGGAGCTAGGAGGTTGCCACTGTCCTCTGCACTGGAGTTTTATGGTTATGCCCCCCCATTGGTAGGGATTGAATGCAGGTCCTTCATCCTGAGCTACATCCTTAGCCATTTTTTATTTTGAGATAGGGTCTCATTAAGTCCTTAAATTGTCCAGGCTGGGCTCAAATTTACAATCCTCCTGCCTCAGCCTCCCAGAGTTCTGGGATTACAGGTGAGTGCCACGATGGCCCACTGAATTTTGTAATTTTAAATTGTTTTCATTGATGTTAGATCAGTAAGAAATTTAAATAGTTCCCAATACACCATAAAATGTACTCCTTTATTAATGGGTTATCAACATCCCCGAGCCCACTGATTCCTTCTATTCCTAATCAATCTCTTGCTTTATTGAATTACTTAGGATACAGTTCAGTTTTCACTTTCAAACGAATTCCTACGGATTTCAGTTTCCATCTTGGTTCCTGTTGTTTCCTAGTCTGTGTATTTTTATCTGTACTTAGCGTTTGAAAACAAACACATTGAGTGATGGCAAAAATCCCTGTCATTCCTACTGGATGACCCCCGAGTCAGCTTCTGCCTCACACTCACCCGTGTGCCCAGTCTGGCCAGGCCAGTGAGACAAGAGGACAGGGTTGGCACAGGCCCACTATGTTGGGAGGATGGCAATCAGACCCTGGCAAAGGGGTGTTGGCTCGCTGGTTTGATTGAGCTCTTTCTCCAGACCAAGGCATCCTTCTCATCCTGGGCTGGCCCGCCTCCTCCAGGAAGCCTCCAGCCTCCCCAGGCCTTACTCCCCTTTCCTCCCCTTGACTCTGCAGCCCAGACTCTGCAGTGGCATCCATAGCCCTTACTACTCCTGGTGTCTCTGGACACCACAGAACTGGCTGTGGGCTGGAGGAGACTGGGGATCTTTTTGCATTTGGGGAGGGGCCTTTCAGCTGGGCAGCTCCCTCTGGCCTCTTCTTCTGTAGCTGTGTGATGGGAACAACACCCCCCCACAGCTCTCCTTCTGGGGCCACACTGGGTGCCACAAGAACTCATATACTAGCTGGGCATGGTGGCATGCCTGTAATCCTAGCACTTCGGGAGACTGAGGCAGGAGGATCGCAAGTTCAAGGCCAGTCTGGGCGATTTAGCAAGAAATCAAAAGAAAAGAAAAGAAAAAGGGCTTAGAGTGTGGTTCAGCTGGAAGAGTCTGGGTTTAATCCCTAATACTAAACCAAAAAACATCCTTAACAGCCCCAACTGATCCCATAGAGGAATTCCTCAGGGCAGAGCTGGGCAGAGCCAGCCAGCAAGCTTGGTTTGTTTGGAAATAGGTGGTGTGGAGACTGTAACTCAGACAGACAAATGCAGCATATCCACATTCCACAGGCCACCACCGGGAGACGAGAAATACAAGGTTCCGCATTTCTCTTTTCTTGGTGGTTGTTTTATTTTGGCTTTTAAATGACACATACTAATTGTACAGATTTATGCAGTGCAACATGATGTTTCAATACATGCATACGTGGTGCAGTGATCAAATCGACACGGTCAGGGTTTCTGACACCCCAGACAGGAATTATTCCTCAGTGGTGAGACTCAAAATCTTCTGCCTAGCTATTTATTCATTTATCTTTTTATATTACCGGGGATCAAACTCGGGACCTTGCGTTTGCGAGGCAGGCGGAACCACTGAGCTAAATCCCTGACCCCTGTCTAGCTATTTTAAAATGTGCAGTATCTTGTTACTGACACAGTCATCCTGGTACACATGAACCCCAGAACATATCCTCCCATCTGACTGTAATTTTGCATTTGTTGACCTCATCATGACCTCTCCGGCCTCCGGCAAACTGTCCTCCTCTGTACTTCATCTTTGTCTTTTTTTTGGTACCAGGAATTGAACTCAGGGCCTTGCTCTTGCCAGGCAGGTGCTGTGCTGCTGCGCTACATCCCCAGCTCTACTCTACTTCTGTGAGATCAACAATTTTAGGTTCTGAGTATGAGGGAGATCACATGGCATTTGTCTTTCTGTGCCTGGCTTTTCCCACTGAACAGTGTCCTTGGCCCTGTTGTCACAAATGACAGAATTTCATCGCTTTCTATGGCTGAGTAGAATTCCTTTGCATATACAGTGCATTCCCTTTACCCATTCACCCAGTGGTGGTTACTTGGGTTCATGTGATCCACACCTCGTCTACTGGGATCAGTTCTGCAATGAACACATCCTGATTTCCTCTCCTTTGGTACACACCCAGGAGTGGGGCAGCTGGGTCACGTGGCAGTTCTAGTTTTGGTTTTTTGAGGTCCTCCATTCTGTTTTTCCTAACTCACATTCCCACCGACAGGGTATGAGTTCTCCTTTCTCCCCGTACTCACTGGCATGGGCCATCTTTTGTCCGTCTGAGCCTAGCCGATCTCACAGGAGTGATGTGGTGCCTCAAGGAAAGCTGCTTTATCCTGAGCCCCCACAGGACTCTTAGCAGGGAGCCTGGTCACCTCCAGGCTCTGCACCCCCTTCTCTGGGAGTTGCCTCTCGGCTGTGCCCTCATGCTGATTGCACATCTACTCCCGGGTCTCTGATCATCGGCTCCCCCTGGCATGCACTGGCTGGCCTCTGTCCCAGAGCAGTGTGGCCTCTCCAGGAAACTGAACAGGCCTGGCAGGGCGTGGGGAGCAGAGATTGAGGGGTCAGTGTGACCTCAGAATCCAGTGTAGGGGTCAGACGGGGGACAGGACCGAATCTCTGGGCTCAGCACCAGCCAGGTGTGGGTCAGCAGTGAGGGCACAGGTGACTGGCTGCACACAGGTTCATCAGCATGGGCACTTGATGCCACCAGTGTGTGCCCAAGGAACAGCCCCATGAGCCACTCCCCCAGCATGGACAAAGACACCATCTCAAGGGGAGGAGGTGGCTGAGGGAATGAGCTTTCACATCCAGGCCAGAAGCCTGTGACCCCACCTCTAGAGGCCATTGCCATAGCCAGCTTCAAACAGTACCTGGCTAAAGGGTACCGTCTATCCTCTGACTAGAGATTGGCTATAAGGGAAGAATTTACACTGCACCTCCCAGTTAGAGCCAGGATGCAATATGGTGATGGTGGGGGGGTGACTGCAGCACGATGAGCGGGAAAGCCCTTGGGGCCCCTGCAGCAGGACAGCCAGGATCTTGCAGGGAAGGGAGGAGGGGGAGCTGTCACCCCCAGGATGTGGCCTGTAAGGTGAGAGGCGCAGTGGACCACCTCAGATGCCCTCCTGGGTGCCTGTGGAGGGCGTCTCCCTTCCCTCCAGCTCGGGCTCCTCCTGCAGTGCCCGGTCCAGAACAGCCCCCATGGACTCCTTCAGCCTCTGGCTCCTCCGGCTGCCCACCAGGAAGTAGATGACTGGGTTGGCGCTGCTGCTCACAGAGGAGGAGAGGCGGGACAGGCAGACCCACAGGAGCTCCACGTGAGGCCGCAGGCCCGCCCAGTATAGGACAAACCAGTAGATGCCCAGGGGCAGGGAACAGACAAGGAACACGAAGACCGAGACTAGGATGACCACGTACAGCCGCCGGGGCCGTCGCCGCCGCACCAGAGTGCTCTTCTGCACCTGGACAAAGAGGGTGACACTTGATGTGGCCATCACAGGCGTGAAGACCCCTAGGATGAGGGCGCCCAAGGCCATGTCCACCTTGAAACACTGTGCATAGGTTAAATCCCAGAACCTGCTGCAGAACAAGGAAGCCAGCATGTTCATGATGAAGGACAGCGCCCAGAGTAGGGTACTCACTGTGGCCGACAGGTGCCGGGGCCGGTGGCACTTATACCACATGGGGTAGAGGACTGAGAGGCAGCGCTGGGTGCTTATGGCTGTGAGCAGGCTTAGGCTGGTGGTGTAGGCAAAGTACTTCACCCTCTTCATTACCTCGTAGGCAGTGACTGTCACCTTGGCTCTAGGACTGATGCTCAGGTTGGCACTGCTGTTGGTGCTCCTGAAGTCAGTCAGGGGCTGGGTCTCCAGGCTTATCGTGGAGGCCATGCAGAGGAGGAAGAGGAGGTCGGCCACCGCCAGGTTGAGAATGTAGGTGGAGAAGGGGGTCCTCCGCAAGCTGCGGCTCAGCAGCCAGATCACAGTGCTGTTGCCCGCTATCCCACACACACAGGTGACAGTGGTCAGGAAGGTCATAGCAAAGTAGACCCAGGTCACCTTGTCCATCCCGGAGCTGCTGGTGGTGATAGGGAAAATTTAGGAAGTGTCACAATAAAGATAACTTCTGCCCCTCACTCTGCTTCGTTCAGAATTAACCGGTACTGGAGACACTTAGTCGATCACAAAATTTTTGTAAGTGAAAAGAACCACTGTTACTTTGTTAGTCAAACAAGCTCCCTTCTCCCTGGCTAGAGTAGGTAACAGAATAAACCTCAAAGGTAAGTTCCCTGACAAAAAACTGCATCTGGGTTGAAATTCAACTGTCTTGCTGTTATGTTTTGGGTATCAGCAATGTGAGCTGTGAAAATGCAGTGTAGCCAACTGAGTAAGATCAAAGCTGTAAAACCCTATAAAAGAAGGGTTGTAACCCAATGGGGGAGTCGATCAGGGCACCGGCATTAGGTGTCATCAATCCCCATTGATGGAGTAAACTTTAATTTTATTTCCATTCTGCTGCCTCTCTGTGTGTCACTTGCCAATTCCTTCCATGACAGTGGAAGGCATCAGGGTTATCCCTGGGAAGGAAAATGGATCAACACGAAACTCCATGATGCTTGAAGTATAGGGCCCTTCTGGGAGCCTCCCAAATTTCTAGGTTTGGGAATGTTATGCTGATCCCTCTGGCATCTACCATGGTCCTCTCCTTGTGGCTGTCATTCAGCTTGACTCTGCTACACAGTGTCCCACTGTGGACACCAACTTGCTATTGATGTTACTTCTCAGGCTAAGGTGTCTTCTATTTTGAGCTCATTTTCCTAGATTATGGAGAAGTATTGACTTTTATTGAATGCTTTTCTACATCTCTTGAGATTATGATTTTTTTTTCTCTTGTCATCTTTAAATCCTGTGAAATCATTTCCTGAAAATTAGAACTCAGGAGCAAAGAGATAATTAATTACATTCCTCAATTTGAGGCACACACACCAAGACCATCAATCCAGGTAAAATCCCCTACGTGTATTTCCTCTCATCAACTCTAGCCTGGATTCTTTGTCCTCTCCAACTTGTTTCTGTTCTGATCTGGTTAACACGGGTCCTGGGACATCTACACATCTTGCAATGTGGCTGTTGTTCAGCGTCTGGGGCATCCTTAGGAAGGAAAATGGACCAATGTGAAATTCTGTGTGGCATGGACTGGCAATACCTTTCAACATCTTTCTACCCTCTTTTCAACATTACAGAGGCTGCCCATTCGCATTTCAAATCACATAAACATTGTGATTAGAAGTTTTCCTTTTTTTATTTTATTCCAAAGTATGTGCTTACATGGGAGCCATTCTACATAATTTGGGGGAAAAATCATTTCACCGTTAATTATGATAAGGGCTGCCTGAGGCCTCAATAGTCCAGTTCCGCTGTGACACTCAAGGGCAAGATTACATCAGCTGAAGACATTCGAGAACTGAGTAGTAACACAAAGACAAAGGTTTCACCTGGGGAGGGACAAATTCCTTATCAGTTTAATTCATCCCATGTACTGTTGTAAGAACATTTTGCTCACCTCACCGTCCTAATCAACTTGAGCTCCTCATAAACCTAAGATCCTCATTAGTGTAAAATCCTTGTCCTAGGATTACTGCCACCCTCTGAGAGTCTGATACTACCTATGAACCCAAACACACTGGCACACTTGGGGTGTTTTTGTCTTTGCTGCCCAGAGCAGCACTGATTAGGCCCAAAACCCAGCTTTTTCTCTAAATCTCATTTCTCATCTTCACTCTTATCAGCTTTTTGTTGAAGTGGCTCACGGGAGACCAGGACCCACTGCAGGGGTTCTGGTAACACCCCCTTTCCCGTTCCCTATATGCTTAGAATATATCCAGCTGGCTGTAAGGAAAAGTAATTTGTTGTGATAAAATTTCATGATATCCATTGACCCAATTTTACTTGTCTATTTCTTAACTGTGGATTCTTGCCATTAGATTTCCTAATGCCATTATCCTAAAAACACTGCAAAGAACATACTCATGCATGTCCCTGTTGTACTAGACTCAGGATTTTTCTGGAATATGTTCCAGAAGTGGGGTAGTTGGGCCATGCGCTAAGCACTACCTGGTTTATTTTCTGAATAGCAGTTCCAGATTTCATTTTCATGCAAGGACAAGGAGATTCCCATGTCCTCATCCCCTCACTCACGCATGGCTTCGTGCATTTCCCTCATTCTTGCCAATTGGATGCTTGCAAAGTGACACCTGGTGTTTTAACTTGCGCTTCTCTGGCTCTGGTGAACTTGAGCCTCCATCCATACATCTGATGGCCACTTGGGCTTCTCCTACTTTGAATTGCTTGGCCACATCTGCTACCCATTTTTTTTCTGATTGGGTTTTCTTTTCTCCTCTTTTCTTATTTGTAGCCTTTGTTTGTATTTCTAGGTGATAATTCATTCCTGGGTTTATACATTGCAGGTATTTTTGTCTGAGAATCCTCTTTAACATGACAACTTTTTGATGGTGAACTCTGGTAGGCAGGCACTCTCAATTCTAGTAGAGCCACCACCATATGTTTTTCACCCTTAAATGGTGAGCCTTTTGGATCTTGTTATTTCATACCCACTGGTGAGAAAAATATTGCCTATATTTTTCTCTATTACTTTTATAGATTTTTCGCTGTTAGATTTCAGTCCTGGATCCAATTAGAATCTATTTTTATGAGGGAGCAAGTAAAAAGACTTGATTTTTCCTCCTTATTATGGACCAGATTTTCTAGTGCCATCCCCCACATAGCCTGTCTTTTCCTTATTGATTTATGAAGCTCTCATGTTGATTTGAAGCTCTAATTGATTGTGAAGCTCCTCATTCTGTATCAGTGCTTTATCTGTCTGTTCCTATAGCATTATCAGTGTTGTCTAATACATATGGCTTTGTGTTGTACCATTTATCTTATATGATGAATCACCCTACTTTCCTTTTTTTTTTTTAAATTGAAGTAGCCATTTGTGAATCTTTATACATTTTTGAGTAAAATTTGGGAATTCCTTTATGAAAAAAACCCTAAATATTCATAGAACTTAGACTAGTAGTGGAGACTTGTGACCTTTAGAATGTTATCATTGTGTCCCTACCATGAAATGTCTCTCCAGTCTTAGGTCCTTTTTCATATCCTTTAATATAATTAATAAAAGCTTTGAAATTTGCCTCAAAAAGTTCTGTATATTCTTTATTGTGTTAATGTCTCAATATTGCAAGAGTCATTTTGCTGATATTGTAAGTGGTATTTTATTACATCTAAAAGGGTTTTATTTATAGTTTTTAATTGGACTTCTGATGCAGAAAATTTGATTTTTATTTTGTTTTGTTTTTGAGACAGGATCTCACCATGTAATCCAGGTTGGCCTTGAGCTCACTGTGTAGCCTAGGCTGGCTTCAAACTCACAGTGATCTTTTTGTCTCAGCCTCCCAAGTACTGAGATTAAAGACTTGCACCACCACACCTGGCTTAAGAATTGGATTTATACTTGTTTTGTGGTCCAGGTAAGGCTCCTTTTCATTGTTGTGTGTGCATGTGTTTATGTTTATGTTAATGTAGGAGCCCACCATCCAAAAGAAAAACTATAATTATGACAATAACTGATTCGATTTTGTTTTTGTTTTGTTTGGTTTGGTTTGGTTTTTTGAGAGAGTGTTTTGCTAAGTAGTTCAGACTGGCTTTGAACTCATTATGTAGCCCAGGTTGGCCTCGAACTCATAGCAATCCTCCTGCCTCAGCCTCCAAGAGTACTGGGACTACTGGGGTGTGCCACCATGTTTGTCTACCTGTTTTAATTTTGATTACTGTGTGGAGAATAGATATATAAAGTCAAGAGTAAAGGCTGAGGTTGGCATGATGGTGCGTGCCTGTAATCCCAGCACTCTGGGAGACTGAGGCAGGAGGATCATAAATTTGAGCCCAGCCAGGAAAACTTAATAAGACCCTGTCTCAAAATAAAAATAAATAAAAAAGCACTGGGATGTAGCTCAGCGTGAGCCCTGGGTTCAATCCCTAGTACAATACAACCAGCAAAAGAAAGAATAGAGGCTGTCTAGGGGGCCATTGTGAGATGTGTCAAAGCCTGGGCATCTAAGGGTGTCTGAGGGCATCTGAGGGCATCTGAGGACACAATCCCATCATTTAGCTCAGGCACATGATGGGGCTTCATTATATAATAATGACTCAGCATGGACAACCACACACGTACCACACAGTCTGCAAGGTCACCCAGAATGTTTTGTCTTACTGGGTCTCAGCAAGCTGGTGGAAAACTACAATAGGTTCTGTGGTGGAAATTAAAGTTGGGTTCCTGCTTTGTAATGTCAGCTCCATGTGTGCTCTTTTCTTTAGAGACCTCGTCTGATCAGGCTTCCCTTTAGCCCACCGACCCCAATAGGCTGTGAGACCAGTGAGGGGGCTGATGTAGATGCCAGAGGAGTTGGTGGTAGTGGGGGTCATGAGAAGCAGTTGGATTGGGGATAAATTTGAAGGTAGAAGCCCAGAAGCCAGATGAAATAGACACAGTGTTGGTTAGTTCCTGTAGTCAATCCTTAGTGTGATTCATTCATTCATTCGCTCACCCTGGTGAATTCTGACTGCAGTGCTGTCCCCTTCCATGGATAAACTGGACAGCAGCACTGTGTTAGGGCTCCAATTTCCCTATCTCCCTCACCAACACTTGTCATCACTCATCTTTTGCATTATAGTCTTCCTAGTGGGTGTGCGAAGTGAACTGTCCCTGTCGTTTGGATTTGTATTTTCCTAATGACCAGTGGTGTTAATGGTTTGCCATTTGCGCATCTTTGGAGAAATGTCTGTTCGGAATTTTTTTCCATTTTTAAACTGGGCTGTTGTTTTATCATTGAATTGTTAGAGTTCTTTGTAAACTCTGTACACCAAACCTTTACAAAATATGATATAGATATTTTCTCCTACTTGTTAGGTGACCTTTTTACTTGCTTGGTGTTCGTCAAGGTGTGAAAGATTTTAATTCTGATGAAATCCAATTTATCCTTTTTTCCTTTGTTGCTTATGTTCTTGGTGTCATAT